GAAGCTCTCCTCCACCAACTTTATAATTCTTGCGACACTTTTGGGGAATGAGATTGTTGGTGCAGGGACAGGGGTATAAAGGGGAGGTTTTAAGGTAGTCCGCTGGCGCCAGTGACGTCTGCCGAATCCAGACTCCTGCAGTTTCGGTTAAGTGGTTCCCTTTTGCCCCACTTGAACGTCTGCACACCTTACTACCAATACGATCAACGATTTCTATCGATTCTGTTACCGATTATCGGTAATTATTTACCGACCTCTCAAATTTTTCCTTTAGGAATTTCTTTTTCAATTTTACGTTAGGGTACCCTAAGACTGTATAAGCATATACTTGAGCACATAGTCACATACATATACATATAGAGCACATAGGTACACATATGAGAAAATGGAGACGAAACGAGACACATTAAAAAATACAAAAAGACTTATACTAAGCACTGTCTTCTACATGAGGTACCTAATCCTACCGACACACAATTTGAAATTAAACAAAGATAAAATTTGAACCTTCGATAAAGTCACCCAACCCTTTCAAGAGTCACCCTCTGTAATTTAAAAAAGAGAACAGACCCATTTGCCAGCGTTAAAGCACTAAATATAATTTTGTAAAAGATATTTTCTTGGAACACATGCGATAAAAATGGCGTCGATACGCAGGAAAGCCGTTCGCTGTTCGAACTCTTTGGACGATTCGCCAACGGGAGAGGCTACTTTGTTGCCTGTACGTACGCGGACAGTATTTACACGGACGAATATCGGGGGCCGGATAGATATTAGCTTTCAGCAAAATATTTTTCAGCGGTGGACGTGGCAAAAAAAACACTAACCCCCTTCCCTCTGTGATACCCCGGCATATTAACGCCTCCGGCATTCCTACAATTTGTTCAACGCAACGAAACGCGAGTGCCGTTTTCCGTTAGTTCCGGATCGATGTTCTTCCGTATTGTTTGCTGTTGTTTCAACATTTTTTTTCACTTCAGCTTTGTAACTGTTCGCTGCGTATTTATCCTTCTACCGATCGCCATTTACGCTGCGACAAATTAACCTATGATTTTAACGTCGCGCTTAAATTATTCAAACGCCATCTTGTTAAGGATAGGTGTACAAAATGGACCTAACCTATGCACATTGTGATTAGAATTAATATTCAAGTTTGACGAATTAGATTTCGTTTCATGAAAAACTGCTACAGTGCGTCGTGATGCATCGCTACGTGACAAAAGGGGTTAGGTTACGTCCTCACAAAAATTCATTCGCAATCTGACGTGTAACAAGCTTTCCTTATCCTCCGTAAATTATTAAAAAAGCTATGAAGCACTGTTAATGCTTGAAGCACAGTCGGTTTCGCTGGACAAAATGGCGATTCTGCTAAAATTGCCCATAAACGAATTTAAATTCGAAAATTATCTCGATTATCAGTATCGAAGTGACCATGGCTTTCAACGTATAATTCTAGTTGTCCCTGAATAATTCTTCGGCATATTTTAACCTCGAGTAAAAAAAATTTGTTCATCTGCATAAATACACGACCGAGACGCGAACTTTCATTTAAGGACGGAAAGTCCCGGGAAACGTTAAACGTTTCAATGAATCCCCTTTTTTGGGATTCATTGAAACGTGGCCGCGGGCGATTTTCATGCATACTGCATTAGGCATTATTAAAACGGCGCATTAATTTTTGGTCACCGTTTGAAAGTTTCGCAGTTTCGAGGCAGCCTGCGTGCTTCTGTAATGTAATACAATTTTCGTGGAATGTATAATGCTTGTTTCACGCATACATTTTCTTGTTTGTCGCGCGCGACGATTCTTTGCTTCATTAAAAATTAATTACGCGAGGTATGTGTAGTTTGGACCTTAAGTTTATACGACGTTAATCAGAAAATTCTGTTACGTCTTGCATTTTAAAAATCACTATTTTCTGACTCGACATTTTTTGTTTAATAATTATATTTTACTTAAACAATTTTTATATTGATCTTGACATTTTTTAATTTTTTATTTTAGCACAAGGTTGACGTATTGATGTATTAATTTTAACCATTATATCGATATAAATTTTTTTATGAGTTCATAATTGCTTTAGCTGTTAATAATATTTTCATAATTGTTTTGAGGAATAAAATTGCGTGACGTCTTAAATATTGCAACGGGTATTTGCAGATTGTTTCGAGTAATTTATTATCGCATGTTATACCGGAAATACTTTGGAAGTTGAAGGGCGAAAACGAATGAGCCGGGAAAACAAATTCGCAACAAATTTCGGTGCGTAATCAGCGAACGAGTTACGGAAAAAACAGAGCCGATAGTAAGCTCCCCAATGTGTCATGATTTCCGGAATTATACGAGTGCTCGTTTAAAACCCTCTGCGATTAACGCGAATCAACTTATTAGCGCTCAATTTTCGCGAATCAGAATTACTGTTCACAAAAATCTTCACTCGGTCAATGCATTTTCAAAGTAATCCTGATTTATCTTTTATTTTATTAATTGTCTACCTACTTCTACTGCCAAATTAACTGTCCTTCCGTTCACTGATAAATACTGATAAATTAAAAATTTCTACATTTTTTATTTCTTTTTAAATTTTCAAAATTTCTGAATTTTTTTCAAATTTTTTAAGTTTTACAAACTTTATAGATATTTAAATTTTCAAAGTTTGTGATGAAGAGTTCGTAAGATCAGCTTAATGTGAATAGTAGTGAGACGCTCTAACTATATCGCCGTTTTCAGAAGCTTTCTATAACCAAAGTCAGGTTGAAGGCAATATTTTTAAGTTTTACAAACTTTGTAGATATTTAAATTTCCAAAGTTTGTGTTGAAGAGTTCGTAAGATCAGCTCAATGTGAATGGTAGTGAGACGCTCTAACTATATCGCCGTTTTCAGAAGTTCGGCTGAAGGCAATATAGCAAGAGTCTCCCGTTTCACGTCAGATATATTTTATGACCCTCCTACGATTCGCCAGCTATTTTTTATTAACCCCTTCCGATTGATCCACCGTTTATAATTCCTCGAAACGCGTCAAAGGGGTTAAAATCTGTACATGTTTTTCAAGGAACATCAGAGTCCGGAACATTTGTTTCGATGTTTTCTTTTTAAGCAAATGTTTTCGACACAATTCGATCGTCAGTGAAAATGTAACTGTTATCGAGCATAGGTAAGTCAATATCGATTTCGTCCAAAACAGATGGATACACGCGCCGTCTCGTACATAAATGTGGTGGCACGCGCGAGACGATCGAAACGATTTATTAAACACTGTACCAGTGGTGTATTGTTATTACACGGCTGTGCAAATATTATTTTGCGTGTACGGCAATCAATATTATCCGAAACCGGAGTTTTGCACTGCTTTTTCCCCGTCTTTTCTCGTGGCCAATAGCGAATTTTAAACCGATTTCACGCAGGATTCCTCCGGCAGAAAAATACGCGGGAAAATTAATCTATTCAGAACGTGTTTACCCGATGAACGTCATAATCGAACATGAATAGCAAAATATTTGTCAAATTTTTGGGATTAAAATATTTGCAGAATTCTTTTTTATATGTTTTTGTAGGAACGCTTCAATCTTTTTGAATTCGGCTGAGTTCCCGCCCTTTTTTCAATTCCCGCCTTTTTTTCATTCATTTGTATAAGATTATGTTCACCGTAGAATATCAAAGGGAAAAGGTAATTATTTTGAATACCGAATTTCTATTTATAAGACACGAAAAATTAACTCTCGTTATATGGTCAACTTTCTACTTCGCATTCAGTGAAGCACTTCACTATTTTAAGTTCAAAAACTGTCTAATTAAGGAACTTTCTATAATATCAACTTTAAAATTCCTCCAATCCTCCTCTAAAGATTTCGGCAATATAACGAGTGGTTACCGTACTTCAAGTCCCAGAATTTTTTCGAAACAGTATGATTACGTGGATCGTGGAAGATGTCAATTTCAGATAAGAAACACGAAGTAATATTATTAATATTTTATTTTATCTATTTATATTATTTATAACAGCACAATTATCGTACTTTCAAAGACAATGAATTGTCCTCGGTTTAATTAGCTATCGTGATAGATGGCGCAATTACGTCAGGGATTACTATAATTTTATAACGAATCAAATTTTGAAATTTGACTCGTTCCCTTACAAACTACTTAACGGTAAAAAATGCTTACTACGGTATACTATAAGGAAACCTTACTCGTTAAATAGCACTGATTCATTTCGTTCATTTTGATTGTACCATCTATCAAGAAACACCGCGAATTTTATACGCTGGAACCTTTCAGCGCGGTACATTTCATAAATACAAAAAGTGATCGAACAAAATTCCGACGCAGAAATGATTATGAAACATTTAACCGTTCTCGCATGTTTAACCCTTTAACTGCAGAAAATTTCAGTTTGAAATCGGTTCGATAATCAAATAGGAATTAATATTGAAACTGTAGTTATCAAGGTATTTCAATTTCTCTTCAGCAAATAGCCATTTTGTAAACAAAAAATATTTTTATACCGAAGGAATCGCATGAAAAAATCCTTTCAAAAGATTTTCGATAGAATCGTTTATTTTGTTCGAATAAATTCGCAAATTTAGATGCATCGTCATTTACCCTCAAATACAGTGCCGTCTTTAGGAACTACCGGGCCTCCGATAATAATTAAATAAGAATAAATATAAACTTTTTTATAATTTTGTTAAAACGAAAATTGGTAGTCTGTTTATGCAAATCAACAGACTATTAGAAAAAGAACCCTGGACCAATGGACATTTAGAGACAGCACTGAACATGACGCAACTTTGCACCCACCTCGCGACTTCGCATCCGATTTAAAATCAGGATGTTGCATTTACCGATCTAATTCCTTTTGCAATCTTTTCTACGCTCGTGAACAATTTTGTACCCCGAAGCGATTGATAATCGGATCAAAATTGCCGAAGGAGTTCCGCAGTGCAGAGAGTTAAAAGTGCGAGTCACAAAGCTTCTTTAGGAACGAAACTTCACTCACCGATGAGCTGTCCCTCGGACGGTGCGCAGAAATAATCGTGTCCGTCAAAAGACGTCGATGGCAAGGACTACGGGTGTGTCGAGGGCGATGGGGTTCCATGAGTTAGTGAACCCACGAGGGAGGTGCAGCAGGAGTCGCCGCGTTGCTGCTTACGTAAACTCCTGCGGGTGCGTTTCCAGCCGTCGTTCCGACCACCACGTTGTTCTGCGACACGCCGCCATTTTGTCCTACGTTGCTGTCGCTCACTTGAATCGCCGCTGTGCTCATCACGCCCTGCTGGAAGTTGAAGTCCAACGTTCCGTCCATCGACAGCTCGTGTTTGATCACCTGGAAAGTCATCCACAAATTTACTTCTTACTTTCATGTTACCTAGTTTTACCTGTAATTAACTTCCCTAGCTTTAGTACTTTTTGATTAATGTTCCCAACTTACTTCTTCAACATTGCAGTCAAATCCTCCATGCAACGATTCGATGTTGATGTTCAAATCATCGAGCAGCGTGGAATTGTTCAGAGCGCCCATTAACTGTCCCATCATCGTACTGGGCGTGGGTTCGCATGGTGTGGGTGTATGAGGTGGACTGGATCCCGTTGCTCCCGTTTGTGGCTGTTGCTGTTGTTGCTGCTGCTGCTGTTGCTGTTGCTGCTGCTGCGATTGCTGTTGCGTTTGCATTATGTATTGGAGGGTCTGCTGCTGACTGTTGCCCAACGCTGTGGGACTGGGTTCGCTTTGCTGGTATGATGGCGACATTCCTGCTACTGGGCTCAAATTCTGTAGTTAGAGAAACAGAAAAGAGTGTTTTGAGATTAATTTGTGTTAACTTTGTTAGAGTGACAAGGTTCAGTGAAGTGGAAAGAGAGATGGAGGACTGAATCCCTCAACGTCTACCTTTGACTGTTATCAACGTACCAAGAGACTATTGTTTTAGGATAGCTCAGAGGTAGTTAAGGGTTAGGTATATAAGAATAGATATAGGAAGGTATATAAGAAGGGAGACTGGGTTGAATCCCTCAACGTCTACCTCTGAGCTAAGAGTCAACATTGAAGCAATGCATTTTTATATTCAAAAGGATTAAATTAAATGAAATTCAGTTAGACTAGGTTACGTTATATTAGAATACGTCATCAAAATGGGTTAGATCACGTTAGACTACGTTAGGCTCAGATTATAATAGATCAGATATCCAAAACACTTGACTAATTTAAAAAAATTGATCAGTACTCCAGAATTAATCAGCTCTCCCATTAATCAGTACTTGAAATATCAGAATTCGAAGAGTACATCATTTTAAGTGCAGCAATACGTTTCAAAATGAAAGTTTCCGGTAAAATAGGAGCGTTGAACGAAATTCGCGTGAAACGATGCTCGAAAGTCGGAGCGAAATCCCCAACTTGAATTAAGTCCAGCTTTTCAGAGAACTTCACTTTGTCCGTTTTCAACGAGGGAGCGCTTATATCAGTGTCCCTTTTATTCACTCACCATTTGACAGGCGCACGGTTGCAAACCGTGAATCGAGCATCTCTGCTGATTCGCTGATTGAGTAGTGGGCTGCATTACGAACGAGGACGACCCTGTGGTAAGGCTATTGCTCCTCTGGTACTGGGTCTCGTAATAGGAAGGTGGTGGACCTGTTTGTTGCTGATGATTCGGTGGAGACGTTTGGTACATCTGATACGATTCCAATTTCATTGCTTCCGCAAGGCTGCCGGCTGCATTTCCAAACAAAATGATCAAATTTATTTGATGGTTCATTGCTTTCTTGTGGAAATTTTGTCAAAGTTCAAATTTTCACGTTATGTAACAGTGTGCAAGAGTTAACAAACATCATACCTAATTGTTCCAGATTGTAAGAAGGTGTGTAGGTCGGTGTCCACTCCGGTTTGCCAGGGATCGACGGAATGGGACTTAACCGACCACCGGATGACGCATTGCTCGAAGCTCGGGGACTCAAATAGAAAAAGTTTCAATGTATTTTAAACGTCCTACTCGAAACTTTTTGCATGGCACTTAAAATATGAAAGTGTACGGGTTAAATTAAAGACATACCGGAAATCAGGTGAGAGCTGGAACCCACTGCCGGGTTGAAGAGGACTATCTGGGAAGAGATCTAATCCCTCGTTCACGCTATTGCTCGGGCTAGGTGTCGCGTCAGGCTGTAGACCGCCATTTTTTAGAGCTTCGATCTTCTTTCTCACCTGTCTACGTCGTTTGTCGAATTTGCTGGTTTCCATCGTGATTGCCCTGTGCGTACGATGAAACCCGTGACTCTTGTGCTACTATGCTACACTCTCTACCAGCACCCTATCACCTCCATTATGCTCACCCAATATTTCAAGCTTTAGAAGCTCAAATTTTCCGGTCCAAAATTGTTAAAAACCCAGCTGGTCACAATTTTGGTCCAAAATTGTTAAAAACTCAAATTTAAACAAAGTCAAAATTAAGACCAGAACTTGATAATTTAAGTCCAAACTTAATAATATTTCACTCAGTAATTTACAGGACAAAAAGAATTTACAGGAAGTACAATTCGAGCAGCAACTTACCTGTGGAGCCCCTAAAGCATTTATCGAGCAAGCAATCTACCTAATTCGCGTTTGTTTTTAGAAAGCAGTGAATTAAAAATTGGAGGTGCACATGATGTGGTAGTACGATACTGTACGTCTTCTCGTTGCAAACAGGACTTACCTCCTGCGCGACGACTTGCCAGGTTTCGCGTCCCGGTTGATCATCCACCAAGAACTCTTGCCGGTACCTTCGTTCTGTACACGCATGAATCTACTGTGCAACGACAAGTTGTGTCTGATGGAGTTCTGCGAACAAAAAGAAGAGGAGCCTTGTTGAGATTTCATGATGACTTCGGAGCAACTGATATCGGTTAAGGCAGGGTTTGCCAATCTCATTTGGCCGGGCTATGCTTTTGTATTAGGTGTACGTCAAAGTAGTTCTGTTATTGGTATTGATTCTAGAGCGTAACTCGAGCTGTTATTAAACGTAACACAACTGCCTTTTAAAATAACCTAACATTATTATAAATAAATATAATTGTAACTTAACTTGAGTTTACATAATCTAACTTGAACCTTGCTATAATTTAAGATGCTTATAAACGTAACACAATTATACTTTAAAGCAATCAAACATTATTATGAATAAATATAATCCTGTTAGCTCAACCTAACTTAAACCTTAACATAACTTCAGATGTTATTAAAAGTAACACAGTTATAATTTAAAATAATCCAACACTGTTATAAATAAATATAATCCTAACTTAACTTGCGCTAACCTAATCTAACTTTAACCTTAACATAACTTGAGTAAGCCTAACCTAACTTAAAACTAACATAGCTTGAGTAAAACTAACATAACTTGAGTAAATATAACCTAACTTAAAACTAATACAACTTCAGCAAACCTAACCTAACTTAAAACTAGCATAACTTGACTAAACCTAACCTAACTTAAAACTAACATAACTTAAATAAACCTAACCTAACTTAAAACTAACATAACTTGACTAAACCTAATCTAACTTAAAACTAACACAACTTCAGTAAACCTAACCTAACTTAAAACTAATATAACTTGAGTAAACCTAACCCAACTTGAAACTAAAATAACATGGGTAAGCCTAACCTAACTTAAAACTAACATAACTAGAATAAACCTAACCTGACTTAAAACTAACATAACTTAAATAAACCTAACCTAATTTAAAACTAACATAACTTGACTAAACCTAATCTAACTTAAAACTAACACAACTTCAGTAAACCTGACCTAACTTAAAACTAATATAACTTGAGTAAACCTAACCTAACATAATCTCAACTCAACATAACCTAAATTCCCTTGACCTAACCTTCGTTTATTGCCTCCAAAAATATTGCAGCTAAGATTGAAGAGATCAATGCAATTTCAGAAAGTTGCACAGTAAATATGCAATATATGCAATATTCAAAGAGAAGATAATATAAAAATTACACGTAGTCTGATCTATTATTTAGTTCCATCACTGTGTCCCAACGAAGAACTACCAAAAATTATTTATTTATACGAACCTTAACTAAACTAGATAAATAATAAATGAAAATAAATATTTCACGAGTGAACTGAACAAATTAAACAGACAAATCAATTTAATCGAATCAATTCTACTTTAAATAACCATATAAGAAATTAAAAGAAATATTCATCATTTTACCGAAATCAAATTTCGCGGTTATCGTTAAAAAATAGCGGCAGTTCCGTCGCGACTCTGATTACAGGGTCCCTCTTTTACTATCTTACATTCCGGTATAGTGCCGGAATCTACACGGACGATTGCATTGTCAGAGCCGTTTTATACCATGTACAAAATCGATTCGAAGAGTGAATGATGAGAGAGAGCCGCGTTTTATCGTTGCCCCGTAGACAGAGAGACGTTCCTGCTCCCTGGCTTGTTCATTAGGCAAATTGAATCGTAGCTCGAGTCCTTCCTCCCAAAAATTTCGGAAAGCTTCTACCCTAATATGAAAGTGCCGTCGCGAAGCGATAACAATTTCCTTTCGTCTTCGTCGGCCATGTTGGAACGAGTGCTTTTAGGCGAAAGAGCGCCACGATACCGCGGCAAATAAGAATTACTCTTTCGAAATTGATGCGATCAGCCTGGGACCTACACTTTTTAACCCCTGACTTTCTAACGTTCTACGAGACTTTCGAATCTTCAACGGACCGTTGAATGCTTAAGGAATCTCGAAAATGTCCCTAAATCTTTCGGGATTATGTCCGAGAAACTTTTCCATGTGGAACAATTTGAAAAGTGATCCTGTTTCTGATACGGACTTCGTTTCTTGCTATAAATAAGTAAACAATTAACCTCTCCATTCTGTAAGAGCATTCGATCGACAGTTTACGCTATTATACTCGGTCGGAAGTACCTCATCGCTTCCGGTCACGATAAAACGATCTTACCCGAGTGTCTCGTTCTGAGCCGTTCATCACGCGACGAATAAATCTGCAAACGGTGCAGCTCATTACTTTTACTATCGCCACGGTGTTTCCACGGGCTTTTACTGCGGACGGTATCCTTAAAAGTTGACCGATAGTTTCGCCCCGAACACGTCGAAACGTGCAGCCCCGGGGGTAGCTAAAGTACTTATCGACAAGGCGGTATCGCGATTACTGATGAGGATGCTTTTACGATCGATTCGCATCGACGATTCCTTTTGCCTTTCGCTTCGTGACAGACCCCGTAGGTTTTCACGATGGTGATCCAGCTATTCCAGTCGTCGCTATACAACGCCAGCTTTACAGCCCTATCATTTCCCCTCCTTTATCGACTCTACACTTCGATGAAGACATTTTTGGCGCCGTCATTCCGATTTTTAAATCGACTACATCGGTGAGGGTGTTCGGACTATTTCTTTGCTTATTGCTTATCACATGATTTCTGTATTTCTGCTCTTCACTCGTATTTATTTACACTATCATATTTATCTTACACTCTCATATTAATATAGCACTGTCATATTTATTTAGTTCACGTAAAAAGATGGTCAACTGGTTCACCAAGATTTTTGGTGCATTTTGAGGTCTTTCATAAAATTTTGTAAGAAGTAAATTATTAAACAGAGACATTCATATATACTTGGTTCATCAAGATTTTTTATTTCTGGTCCTCACTCATATTTATTAACAGTCTCATATTTACCTTACACTCTCATATTAACCTAACACTTTCATATTTAGTTCACGTAAAAAGATGGTCAACTGGTTCACCAAGATTTTTGGTGCATTTTGAGGTCTTTCATAAAATTTTGTATGAAGCAAATTATTAAACAGGGACATTCATATATACTTGCTTCATCAAGATTTTTTATTTCTGGTTTTCACTGATATTTATTAACAGTCTCATATTTACCTTACTATCTCATATATTTGTCTAGCACTTTCATATTTAATTTATGTAAAAAGATGATCAAGTTGTCTATCAAGGTTTTTGGTACATTTTGTGATTTTTCATAAAATTTTGTACGAAGTAAATTATTAAACGAAGACATTCATACTTGGCTCATATATTAAAAAATGTTCCAACAGTTACTCTATTAAGATACATTTTGAGGTCTTTCATAAAATTTTATACGAAGTAAATTATTAAACGAAGACATTCATACTTGGTTCATATATTAAAAAATGTTCCAACAGTTACTCTATTAAGATACATTTTGAGATCTTTCATGAAATTTTGTACGAAGTAAATTATTAAACAAAGACATTCATACTTGGTTCATATATTAAAAAACGTTTCAACAGTTACTCTATCAAGATACATTTTCTGGTACATTTTGAGAACTCCTAAAAATTTAATGGGATGTAAATTATACTCAAAAAAGTAAAAATGTAAGAAGTAATGTAATTTGCACTGCCGTCGCTCCGCCATTTTGAGAAGCGCTAGCGATCAGAAAATGGTGAAGGAAGCTGGAGTTATCTCGCTCTCGAACAGACTACATAACGGGCAATTTATGGGGCATATACTAGTCTCGCCATGGACGTCCACTATCTTCCGACGATAAGAAGACTCGAAAGTCTGTGGTTCCGAGGAGAGTGCGAACATGCTTCCTTCTGACGTAATCTGCTCGAATTAATGGTTGCGTTAAATCAATATTAGGCATTTAATTATGAAATTTATACATACTTTGACAAGTCTATACATACTATGACATCTAGACTTTTCAGAAGTCTAGATCCTCATACCTAAATATCCAAACCAAAAGTACTGCCACATCTATCTTTCCAGACCCTTGACAATAACTGTCCCAGAAAAAGTGAAGCTAACCTAACCTAAAAAAGACATTCTGAATCGATAATACGAATTAAAGTTGAAAGATCACCCTTACTATTCGAAGTGGATCGTTAAGTTAATTCTCTGTCTCGAATATGGAGGAATTACGTGCTTCTATTATTTAGAAGTTTCACGTTGTTCGATCTTTTTTTGACACGATTCATCAGAGGGAATTCGCAATGGCAACAGTCAAGACATGCTCCGATTTGAATAATAAACCACGACCGTTAGTCAAATCTGACACGAACGTTTTAATTTTTCATTCGCACGTGAGCCACTTCGGCGATCGATTCACTGTCATCGAATTCATTTTTAAATCATGCTACGAGCATACAGTGTCGTGCACCACTCGGTCTTATAATCGTGTCACGTTTCGGTTTGCCGGCAATATTCATGGGATTCGAACGTTATTCCTAGACACACTGATAATTTTCAGGGATTAACGCTTATTTTTATTGTGGTTGTTTTTAGAACAAATATGAAGGTGATTAGGAATTAGGATATGTTGATTAGCACACCGCGGACGGAAGGAAGTAGACTTATTTTTGTTATGAAGGATGTGGCTTTTGTCTTGTCTCTTCATCCTTTGCGTATTTCTCTACGAGGAAGTGGACACTAGCGGTTTCTTGATAAGCAAAATATTTTATCATGTATCTAGAGTGCTAAATTATTTTGGGAAGTGACGAAACTATTGGAGGGGGATCAAGTTTGAAATATTTCCAAATTTGGTGTTATAAATGTTACGGTACTCATTTATCCTCAGATCCATTTTGTAGACTTTGGACATCGACATCCACCTCTTTGTGGATCCACCCACCTATTTGTAGACCCACATCCTATACTCATTTATCCTCAGATCCATTTTGTAGACTCTGTAGCTCCACATCCACATCCAGCTCTTTGTAGACCCACATCCAATAGTCATTTATCCACATCTCCATTTTATAGACTTGTACACCCACATTCACCTCTTTAGAATCCACATCC